ATAACTTTAAAGGTGTTGGATCAGGAAACAAGGTGCATGTGGAAAGGATAAATCTTCGTTCGGAATGATCAAAGTAGAAGGAGAAGGCAAAAGCTCAAAATCACAACCAGAGGAAGTCTTAGGAAAAATATCTCAGGTGGCATCAATAAAAATTCATAAGCTCAGTCAACAAGGAAAGAAGAGAAAGAAGACGGAACACCAAGCTGAAAAGATGGAAGTTGGAAGTGGATGGAAGCACGGATGAGTTGAGACTTTTGATCTGAATGAGTTCTGAATTAAGGAAGAAACAAGCAATAAGGTGTGGAAGAGAAAGTACCCCTCATAAGGGGAGGAAACATCGAGCCAAGTGACGTTAAATGAAGCGCTTCATGGGAGGCAACCCACACTTTTAATAACTTAGTTTCTCTTTTGTTTTGTTTGCAGGTAATAAAAAGGGAGTCTTACTAGTGAAAGCTAGAAGGCTGCAACATGTGTTGCATTACCCTCTGTGAGTCACCTTCTCGAGCTTGTTCTGAAACATTAGGGTCAATGTTTAGTTCAAGTTTGTGGGGGGGGGGGGGGGGGGGTTATTGCTTTTCTTCTTTTCGAATTATTTGTTAGTGCTCTGCGAATTGTTGTGTAAATCCACGAGTTGAAGTCCTCTAAATTTGGCCAATTTTTTTTGTTTTGATCAAGAACTTGATTCTCATAGAGTTCAGGAATAGTATATAGAGACAAAGGGATGGTTATTCGAGGGTAGGAAGTTTAGAATAACGTAACAGGGATACAAGTCCAACATGTAGATTTGTACCATAGTGTTTGAATCTTGAGAAGTACTCCTGGAGTAGTTTATCCCCACAGTTTGGCATAACATAGATTCACATGCATGTATGATTGAAGGAGAAAGAAAGAAATTTGGAACCAAATGATGAAAAGGCGATAAAAGGAAACTGACTCGCTAATTTGGGTAACCATCACCAGGTTATTTCCCAAAGGGGGTTGATCCCCAAACATCGTCCATAAAGGATAATATATAAACTGAAAAGTTTTGAAAATTTCATTTGAAGTTATAAAGGAGAAAAAGCTCTTATTTGGTGCCTGAGTAAAAACTTTCTTGATCAGTCTTGTATGTGTGATGATCATCACAATCCTCATTGCCTGAACGTAACTGTCCGAATGAAAAAGGAAGAAAATTGGAAAGAGACTCAAGTACAAAGTGTAGTTAGAGAGGTATCTGAAGAGGAAACTCTAAACTTAAAGATTCTTAAACAAACTCTTCGTGTCATGTGAACATCATACGTACGGCTTTTTGATCAATTTGAATGGATTTCTCACGTATGAGTACCGAGCTACTGTGATTTTCATGAGTTCTTATAATGGTCGCTTGAGGTCAAGCAACGGTTTAAGTTTGGGGGAGTTTGATAAGTGGTTTTTACATATGAATTGTGCATTTATTTTAGTTATGGTTTCTTTTAATTGAATGGTGTTTTATTTCATTTTACCGTAATTTATGCTTTGGTTTTGTATTTTAGTGTTTTTAGGTTCAAAAGAATAAAACAAGATAAGTCGGGGCAGAAAAGTGCAGAATTCAGAGTTTCAGAAGAAGTGCTTTAGGAGCCCTGACATGGTTGGCCATGTCGCCAGACACAGGTGGCCGTGTCAGGGGGAGGACTTGAAAAAAGTGAAGTTAAGCAAGACAGAAGGTGACAGGGGTGCCTGTGTCACACAACACGGCCCATGTCAAGTCAGCTAAAGCATGAACTTTTAGAGGAAGGATCACAGGCGTTGACACGGGTGCCCGTGTCTGCTGACACGGCCCGTGTGAATTCAGATGGACTAAATGTTGGAAAAGAGCGGATCACAAACGCTGACACGGCCCGTGTCAGCCTAGATGCTAGAAATTCCAATTTTGAGAGTTTAGGTATTTTTTGAGCATTTAGGGTACTTTGGACATTTTGGATTGCTAAGGGATGACCGAGTACTATAAAAACCTAATTTGGAGAATGAAAATGGGAATTTTGAGTGATAGTGAAGAACATCACGATAGAAGATTGAAGTATATGCAAGTTTGGGAGAACAAAGACCTTTCATGAATGGAAGCAATTGAAGATCAGAGTTCACCATCAACTTGTGTAATGTCTATCTTTATTGAAATTTCTTTAATTATTATGTGCGGCTAAACCCCTCAATTCTAGGGGGTTTCCCTGATTTGCAATGTTAAGAATATTGATCTCTTTGTTTTATTCAACATAACAATTTTTATGCATCAATTTGATTGTTTAGAAGAATTTATAGTTTTACCCTATGGGACCATAGGGTTTCACTGTTATTAACATATTAGAGTCGAATGTCGTGTTAAGGTTTTCTAAATAATGATATTATATATGATTTCACCTAGGACTAGGGAAATCCTATGAAAAGCAGAATAGTCATTGATAATTGAATGCTTAACCTCAAAACTAATTTGAATGGACATTGAAATTAGGGTAGAAGGTTAAAGGTTTTTCACTAAGGACTTAGGAAAAGATAATCTTAAGAATCGGTAATTGAGGATGACGAACTTGTTTAAAAGATCAAAGAGTAAAGGTTATTTCATGGCAAATCATACACTCACTCCTAGCATCTTTTAATCAAACAGAAAAAGTCGCATTTTACATTCAATCATTTAATCTTTCGCAAGGATTTATTCCAATAAAACCCAAAAGTATTGTTTTTATTTAATTGAATTAATAATAAAACTCAGTATTTCCTACGTAGTCCTCGAGATCGATACTTTGGGAAAATCCCATTATTACTACATCGGTGAAAATAGTACACTTGCTATTTTTCTGATCAGAACGATAGGGATGTAAGGAAGTCGTCTGTGTTGACTTTGAAGTCTGAAGGAAAAGGGACCCCAATAAGTTGTTGATATGAACAATAAATACATGGTAGTATGAATGCACGTTTCATCTTTTTATTTCTAGGGAAAGCCAAAGACTCGTCTACGCATATTCTTCTAGCAATATTCATCTTTTTGAAAAGCACAACAAAAGAGACTCGTCTTTGGAATTCCCCGGAAATGGGATGCATATACATATGATATGATGTCATTATATGCAATAACATGGGATCAAGGCTCCTCAAAATCTTGGTAACCAATGTATAATCCTCTGAATAATTATTGTTTAATATCTGAACAAGCTGAATATAACAAGATCAAAAGTTTGAGCCTCTTCTGAATACAAGAACACATGGTAGGATGAAGGTCAAGGTTTTCCTACAAAACAAATACCATACCCCTCTCACATATGGGTTCTAGTCTTGGAAAAGGTTCCCAGAGTCGACAACCCTCTATGAAAATACCTTGTCTTGTGTATAAGCATGCAGGACAAAGGCACCCCCAAGAGAGCCTAGTCTGGGTGTGGGTCTCATGCCAACTCATATGTTTCAAGCGCTACGCGAGTCAACATGAATATCCACTCTAATCATGTGTGTAAAACTTAAGCATGTGTAGTGGGCTTATCTCTCAAGAGTATCACCCATCCCATAGAGAATAATACATCATATATCTAGAATACGTGAATAAAAAAATGCAATACATGCAATGAATACAATAAATAAAGCGAGTAAAACATATAAGACAAACACCCAAATAAAAAAAACAAACGAAGTTAAGATTGACTTGCTTGAAGACGTCCCAAGCGGAGTCGCCATCTGTCGTACCGTGAAAAAACAGAGTCACCACAAAACTTGATTTATTTCGAAGATAAATATCGAGAAAACCCCAAAAGGTAGGATAAGGTGGTAAACTCAACCAAGAGAAGGGTACAAAAGTTGGTTATGCAAAGGGAAGGTATTAACACCCCTTTCATTCGTTGTACTCAACATGATCCACTTCGGCTGTGTGTTTTTAAGGGTGTGATATCTAAAGCTATAACTTGCTAAGAATTCAAGAATGATTTATTGGGAAAAAGAAATGCTTTTTATTATTGATTTCACCCAAGTCTCACAACCCAATGCCTACGTATCCCCATAGTGCAATGAAGAAATCAGAAGTCTGTAGTTCTTCTAAAAAATGTTGGTTTATTGGTTGTTTTTTAGTGGACAATGTTATGTTCGCGTTCTAGCAGTTAGGTGTTTTCTGTTTATTATGTGGAGACTCGCGTGTTACATGTATTGCAATAGAACAAAAGTAACATGCCCTTTTGAAATGGTTTTAAAGAGAAAAGGCAAGAGGCAAAAATGTTTGAATTTGTTGAAGTGTTTTGTTAGGAGATCCTTCAAGTGGTCCTTGGGGGTTCTTGAATCCATCTCCTTTAGTTTTTACATTGTTTGAGATACGCATTATACTAAAATTTATGACATGAGAGACTTTGGGATCAAGGAAAATTCTACTTAGATGTTATCATGCTTTGATTAAAATTCTAAAGTCTATATTAATTCAATTTAATCAAGAGATTAAAATCAAATTAATAAATCCTAAGGGAGCATGTTAAACAAGCAAGCAATTAAAACGACTATCAAGCATCAAGCAAAGCAAAACATCAAAATGTCAAGCACAAAGAATCAAGATCGTACCAAAACCCTAAAATTCAATTAAAAGTCTAAAGAGAATTAAATGCATCTTTTTATCAATTTTATGAAAAGAATTAAGGAAAATTATAAAGTCATGACCAAGGTATTTATACATTTTAGGTCAAATTTTTATTATCAAAAGGAAATAAAATCATGTCAAAAATACACTAAAAACTATGGTAAAAATTCATGAAGAAAAATTATACAAAACAAGCAAAACAGTGGGTACATAGCAGTGCATGCGCTCCTGGCCCAGGGTCTAAGCCGAATCATCAATCAGAAATAAAAAGAAACTAAAAAAAGCGTGGAAATGGATCACGAGGAGGGTGTAAGCATTGAAATCATGGGGCATGGCTTGTTAAAGGCCCAACCCGTTTTGGTTTCCAAATCAATTTTCTGATTCCATAATAACAAAATAAAACAGAAAAAAAGGAAAATAAATATTGAAACACAACTTTGTTTCAATGTTTGGTCTCCATTCAAATCCAAACCGACTTCTCTTTCTCTACTCTCACATCTCTCTTTATCTGATTCAGAAGCGCCGTCGCGCCGGCACGCCCCTCGGCGGAGAATGCAAATCAGAAAATAAAATTGAGACCACTAGTGGACTTGTTTCACTCTCCTCAACTCGAATCTGGTATACGATTTCTTACCAATCTCATTAAAACTAAATGCAACTCATAACCCTAAAAACACCAAAATCAGAATTAAGTGGAAATGAAGCAAAGATTCGTGCAATTGGTAAAGGATAACGCCTCAACATCTCAAGTTTAACAAGATTCAACGCAAATAATAGAGTTAGAGCTACCTACCGATGGGGATTGAGATCTCCCCCGGCGAGCGTCACGAGGTTGAATATGATAGAAGCGTGATATGCTCCAGTTAACTCCTTGCCTTCTTTCCCTTTTTGATTCACGCTATACTTCTTTTTTCTTCTTCTTCTACCTTTCTTTTCTGAGTTGCGTCATTGTGTTGGTGAGGAACTGAGATTGTGAATTAGAGATGCAAGATCGTTGTTGTTGTTGCGATGATAAGGAGAGAACCAGAGAGTTTGAGGGATGGTGGATGAGAGGTCGAGAGATGAGATGCAGAGTGGTGATAGGTTGAGGATTGGGAAGGGATGAAGAAGGTGAAATGAGGTGAAATAGTGCGTGTGTATGAGGAAGATTGAGTGATGAAGATGATGCAGTGAGAGAATGAGAGGATTCTCAGAGATAATGAAGGTTGAAGTTGAGACTGATGATGGAAATTGATCGTGTAGAGAGTGAGATGGATGTGAAGATAAGCTGAGGATGAAATGATGTTGCAGAGAGTGAGAAAACTCTGAGAATTTGCCGAGAGAAGTAGAGTTATAGAGTGAAGAATGAACCGTGTCCTCTAGATTTTGGAGGGAGTTGAGATTATATAGTTGATGAAGGTGAGGAAGTTTGTTACAAGAGAACCAATCCGAGCCTTTGGATTTGAAGCAGTTGGTTAGAGAGATCAATGGTGAGGATGAGGCAATTTAGAGTTAGTTATGAGCATCTGAAATTCTGTCAGAACAGTTAGGGTTTATAAATTCTGTTATCACCTGTTATGATTTCTGTTTTGATTTGTTACTTGATTTTCCATTGGTTTTGCTTCAGCTTCTGTTTTGGATGACTGACTGGTTTAATGGCTTACTTAGGTGTGAATTGTTTTGTTAATTATTTGGTTTTATGATTTTTTTTATTATCTGGTTTTTTCTGTTAATGTGCAGGGTCATGGTAAGTGTTTTGGCTTTGTCATGAAGTGGTTTCAATTGGTTTAATAAACTGAAACAGGGCTGTATGTTTGGATAATGTTGAGTTGATGAATTATTTTTTCCTGTTCTGATAACTTGATGCAAGGCTGGAAATGGTGTTGCTTGATTAACCTTTGCGCCTGTTTTTGTTGGCCAGGTTTGGCACTCATGCTACGTTAGGCTTTGTGCCATATTGGTGATGGTCATGATGCCTTGAAGACAAATGTGTGAAGGCTTCACAACATAGAGAAATGAGGTTGCCATGGAATTTATTGAGATTTGGAGAATGCTGAAGCATGGTTGAGATAAAGCATGCTGATTCTTGCAACATTAGAGCATGAAAGACGACGAAGACTTTGGTTTTAGTTTTGCATAGATTTTCATGTGATTTTCTTGTAATCTTGATGTAATGATAAGGATAATATGTGATTTTGTAAAACTCCTTGTGTATTTTGTAATGAATTTTGGGATTAATGAATCAAGTATTTTCTTCCAATTGCATTCTTCGTTTTGATCTTGAAGTTGTACTAGCATAATGGTGTACTTGCTTTTGTATAACTTTGTGGAGGCTTAGAACATGACAATATGAATGGTATCATCTTCTTCTGATCTCTTCCTTTGCTCTTGAAGTAATAGTGGAGGGATGATGCTTGAATAATGAGCATAATGCTAAGATTCTTGATTTTGGATGAATCGTGACATAAGCCTATGAATGCATTTGTCCTTAAAGGATTATTATGTATCCTTGCTTATTGTACTTTGTGATTTGAAACCCAAGAAATCCATATGAATGTATCTTCCATTTTTAGCATGTTTAATTAATTCTTGACAAATCATATGCTTAAAAACTTGGATCCAATCAATTAATTTGATCACAAATTTGAATTTATTGAATCACTTGAATCACCTTCAAATCCAAATCATCTTGCATTCTCAATGAACCTCTAATTTCAATTATCAAAATTTAAGCTAAACTTAACTTGCATGACAAGCAACAAGCATTTGAAAGAATGATGATGTTTTGAATCCACAAATCATATCTTGTTCCATGTCTCGACTTTAATGAGCAACAAAAACATTTCTTTGAGGAAACCTTGAAAGACCTTGACAAATATGGGGAAATAAACCCTAATCTAAGACCTTGGTGAATTTGGATGAAGAATAACCCTTATAGCTTTATGAAGAAGAAGTCTCTGATTTCCATACTTCAAAATCCTAATTCCACACTTCAATGCTCAAAGAAGAACCAAATGAAATCAACCTTATTTGATATGTACACCAATGTGAAATCCTAACTTTTAATTGATGATTGATAGATAAACCGATTGAAACAAGCTTGTGTGAAGATGAGAGCTTCAAAGCAAAAGGAAACACTAACTTCAAGCTCCTTGATCCCATGCCAAGTTTATTGACTAATGATGCATAATGTGTTAAATGACTTACTGTAAAGATAATGCATATGAGGAGAATGAGATACATAAGTCAAGTAATTTGTTAAAGGGTAGGACAAATTTGAAGTATAACAATGATCCACAAACGAACCACCATGGAAATGGAGGTCGAAATGCAAGGGCCATGTCAGAACTTGGTAAAAATGGGAATTTGGGTGGACAAAGTTTGAAAGCTAATTCTTACTTGTCTTTGCTTTTCACCCTTAAAGGAAGTTTCAGACTGGGAAGTTTTTTCGTAAATATTTTCTTCAAGGTTACAACAACATCAAAGATGGTCAACTAATATCATTTAGCTTGTACACGGTTTCGAAGTAATGTTGGAAGGCTTCAATATCCTTTATTTACCTTTCTTTAATCTTTCCCGTTAGGAGGAAAATGAGTTGGTTAGATTCTTCGAAAAAGTGGCAGCGTCAAAAATTCTTTGGCATAATAGGTCTTCCAACATTCATCGAATTAAGGAGTGCAATAAAACGAGGGTCAAAATGAAAGTGGAGTAAGCTCAGGATTTTTGGAAGAGTATCGATCAAGGCGTTTGGTATAATTGCTTTCAGAATAATTAACGTTGCACATGTAGAGGTTATTTTTTCGATTAAAAAATGTGTTAGGAAGTAACTGGCCAAACCCAAACTGTCGACAAACAAGGTTAGGTTGGTAGCTGAAGATCTTGAAGTGATATTTTGACATGCCAAGTGTGATACGGTGGAAGAAATGACTTGGGTGTTTTGCGTTTTATCGCAAATGTTGCGGTTAGCAAGAGTCGCCACCGACTTTTCTTTTATCCAAAAGGAAAGGCTGAAAAGAACATGAAAGATCTTTGAGATTGTTTCTTGAGTTCGGGGGGTAGATTATGAAAAGGAAATGTGTTAGCACCCTTTTCATCCATAGTTATCTATGGGCTCTTAGTTGCTTGCTAGATCACTTGCTTTTGTTTGAAAATGTGCTTTGTATGGTTTTTGAAAGTATTTTGAAAAGGCGCCATCGTTTAGGCAATCTTTGTAATAGTTCTCGTTCGTAAGAACGTATACAAAGTGTTGATCTTTTGAAAATGTTTCATGTTTGGAAAAAATTTTGAAAGTGTTTTTTGAAAGTGTTGGTGTTGGTTTTGAAAATAAGCAAGAGTGTTTGATTTGAAATTGATCAAGCAACTAGGAACAATCTACCTACTCAAAAGTCTTAGTTCATTTCTTCCTTTCCTTTGATATTGCTATCTTACCATTGATTTGATAAGAAGCCTTATCTTTGGATGTAAAGGGACGGGCGTGGGTCATCGTATAGCCATGATAGCAATGTTGTGAAATATCTTAGCAATTCTCTTTGAGGGAGTAAGATCATTTTTAAAGGCAACATTTGATAGCGTCGTCGAGGGACTATGATCTTGTATTTTGATTGCTTTTTGCTAAGATATCCCACATGCATAACATGACCATTTTGGCAAGGCAACAAGGTGGAATTACCCTAAGGGTACAAGTGTGCAAATGTGTTGGATTTACATGCTTGTTTATCTTGGATTAGGGTTTGCTAATTTTTGTTTTTAGTCTTGCCAAACAAACCCTAATTATTAACATTTATATAAAGCGATAAATTGCGGAAAGTAAAAATACTAAACTATTACATCATTAGGGGAGGGGGTATACAAATTTACAAATGGGGATTTTGCAAGAACATTAAACCTAATTAATTATTACAACCATATTGAATATTGTACAAAAAATTGAATAAATAATAATGTATATGTGATACGGTGGGAGAACTGACTTGGAATTTTGCGTTTGTATTCGCACTTGTGCGATTTAGCAAGAGTCGCCACCGACTTTTTATTTTATCCAAAGGAAAGGTCAAAAAGCACAGGAAAGACCTTTGAGATGTTTTCTTGGATTCGGGGGGTAGATTATGAAAGGGGAAGGTGCTAGCACCCTTCTCATCCATGGTTTTCCACGGGCTCTTAGTTACTTGTTTTAGATCACTTGCCTTTGCTTTTCAATTGTTTGAAATGGTGCTTTGTGTGTGGTTTTTGAAAATGCTTTGAAAAAGAGGCCTTGTCTAGGAAACCTTTGTAATGATTCTTGTTTGAATATATACAAAAGTGTGTGTCTTTTTGAAAAGATATTTCAATGTTTTGAAAGTTTTATTTGAAATTGTTTTGAAGTTGTGTTGTGAAGTGTGTTTGAAAATGGCAAGGATGTTTTTGCAAGTTTTGATCAAGTAACTAAGAGTTGTCTATCCTATTTTACTCAAAGATTTTTCTTATGCTTTTAACCCTTTTAACAGTGTTGTTTCACCATTGTATTTGATGAACAACCTTGTGTTAGGATGTTTAAACGGACAGGCGCGGGTCATTGTATACAATCATTAAAAGCAACTTGTAAGATGCTCTAGAAATTTTGTAAGGGACGATATCGTTTTATCAAAGGCAACATCGAGGGTCATCGAGGGACTACGATCTTTGTTTATCGAAGAGGCATTTGCTAGAGTGTCTCATATTCAAGGGACATGATTGCATTTTCCGAGGCAACAAGCGAGGTTACCCTAGAGGTGCAAGTGTGCATTGTGTTTGTCATTTTCATGCATTTGTCTTGTATTAGGTTATCTAACGATTGATTTTGAATCTTCGCATACAAACCCTAATTACTATACAGTATACTGAAAGCGATAAATTGCGGGAATTTAAAGTCTAAGTTATTACAAATGTGTATCCAGGGATGGGGGTACAAATTGTTTACAAATGGGGATGAGTCTTTCAAGAATAATAATGTCCAAATATGTGTTACAACCAAATTGAACTGTCGCAATTCAATGTTAAAAAAAATTATAACGAATTATGAAAAATCAGTAACTATGAGATGCATGCATTTATTTACAAATGATCAAATAAAATTTAACCTAGTGAAGATTAAGTATGATTATTATTTTTGTATTTTTAGGAATTTATGAAAAGAAAAAGTTTTAAAGAAAGAAAATTATTTAAATCAATGTTTCTATCATTTTTATATTTTTACTAAAGGTAATAATCATTAAAACAAGAAAACTAAATTAAGAAAATTAAAACAAAATCTTAATAAGCTTTTAGTTTTATTATTCACAAGAATCAAATTATGAAAGTAAAAAAAATATTAGTTTTAACAAAGTTAAAAAGATGATAGGCCTTAGGAATTATTGGTGTTAGGCCCAAAAATGGAAGGAGAAATAAAATAAAAACAAAACAGATGAAATGGGGGGGGGGGGGGGGGGGAGTATGCGCTAGCCAGCATTTGGGCTTAAGCAAATTGGGGCGCACAGGCCCAGAATGAATGTATTGTGACAATTTTTTAGGGTTTGTTCACTTTTAGGGTTTGTGAGCTTTGGTTACACAACGGCGCCTCCTTCTTCTTCGTTTCTCTCATCTCTCTCAGGCGAAGCGCTGATCGTTCATCATGCCTCCAAGTTTCCAGAGCGCCATCTTCGCCCTCTCCTCTCCACGACGGTCAAATGCGATGGTTTGAAAGGTACAGTTTTTGTTTCAAACGCGCTTTAAGGTTTTTTTACAGTTTTGTATGTTTAATTCTCTTGATTGCATTTTGGATTTATCTTCTAATCTATGGTTGTTATGAGCATGATGCAGTGTAGGGGGTGAGGAAACTTACCTTGACGTTTTGTTTCTGAAAAAGATGGAGGGAGGGTTGGACCGGCAACGCTCTTGGTGGCCGGAGGCGGAAGAAAACGAGATGAACGTCGCTTCTGGTGTTTGTGTTTTCTTTGTTATTCTTGTGATTTGTTTGATGATGAATAATCTTTTGAAAACTTGCTTGCTTCTACTTTCGTTGATGATGAATAATCTGAAACTTGCTTCTTCCCTGTTAATGATGAGAATTTTCTGAAACTACGCTTGCTTCTGAATCTCTTCCCCTTTCTGGTTTTGGTATAGATATCGATGATGATGATACTCTGAGATTTGTTTGTATTTGTTAGTGATGATGTATAAAATCTGAAACTTGTTGTTGATTTGATTTTGTTGATTCTCTTCCTTCCTCTGAGTATTTGTTAATGATGAATGTGTTTCTGAAGTTCTATATTGTTTTACTTCTAAAGCTCTTCCTCTCTCCTTTG